ATCCAAGTACCACTTTTTTCGGTAGTGCAGGGATTGCATAATTTAATTTTAATCTCAATCGACGGAAATAGTAAAACTTTTCTAGATTAAAATGTCTGTAACTAAACATTATAGCACCCAAGCGAATGTTAAAAGTATTTAGTTTATTTTCGGTGGATACGTCACTTTGTTACACTTTTTGGTAGTTTTACAGTAGGGTTTACATGTTTTCAATTGGTCGACGAACACTTTGCACATAGTATGAGGCTCCTTAACGTGCTTAAAGACAACTTCACCGTCGTACACATACTGATCGAATGGGATGCTCCAGATCATTTGCCATCCATTTCGCTCGCATATTTTCGCACAGTAACTGCAAGCAAGAAACCATTCGAGACACGTTGATCCACTGTACACGATTCAACTCACCTGCTGTTGCAGTGTATGAGGAACAAGGGGTAGCTACAATCGCGCGCCAGGAACCAGCTCTCTCCTACGAGCCTCCTAGCGATTCCCAACCCTTGGAAAGCGGTGTGGACAGCCAAACTGCTCTGTTCGAAGACTTGCCAGCTGCAGTATCGTTCCCAAACGTTGAGTTTCTGCGCTATATAGCTGTAGAACTCGACGATACGTCTGATGGGAGTCGATTCGCATATCCTCGCGAACTCGCAGAGATTCTTTGGTTCCGATGGACCTATCACACTGTTCAGAGCTGCTCCTATGATGCAGTGGTCCCGATCCTCAGCGATGATCGACAGACCCGATCGAACTTGATCGTACATCATCCGTCGCCACGATTCCGGTGCCTCGGTGCCCTTCAAGCCGATATTGTGGATTATAGGCTCACCCTTGTAGTATACCTCGCACATGAAGTCTACCACGTTCTCGTAATCGGGAGGCAAGGCCAAACGGGTGGTGTAAAATGGACTATCCTGGAAGGATGTGGAAGATTTATAGGTGGCCAGCGGTTTCTAATGGAAGTTTGTTTGGGTTTGGCCAGTGTCCTGTTTTCGAGTCGAAAATCGGGATCAACTAATTACCCGAGCAGATGGCGGGCTGTGTAATTTAGCGCTGAAAGTTGAGTGTACAGATAAACACTATGATTCATGTTTTTAGCTGGTGAGCGTTTGTTCGACGCTATCTAATTGACGTTAGTCGCATTACGAAATCTATTGTTTCTGCTGCTGAACTTGAACGACGAGATTACGATAGGTGCTCAGTTTTTATCATGCAATCAGAGACCAGTGAAAACGAAACTTGCGAAACGGTTTAACACTTGGTCGCCGATCAAGTCACGTTCAAGACACGCTCCTCAGACCATACATACACAAGGTGACCCACCAGAAATTCCGATGTGTCGCCATTTCGAGCATCTTTTTATCAACGATTTCGTCAATGATTTAACAATCAACCTCGAAAAAGATCTTGGACTTTCAATAGACCTCGACGTTCAAATTATTAAGATGACAATTAGGTGTTCTGTTTCTGGCGTAGCCTATTATAATTGAATTAATTATGTACACATTCAGACTGAAATTCAATTACGATATCTTGAAAACTGATCTGTGTATCTTGAATATTACAACGAAATGAAATTACTATGCACGGCGCGATCGAAACACTGTCGATAATATGAACTTATTTTTCAAGTTGTCAATAACTCGAATTGGAGGATATTGGAATATTGAAATTTAATATTTACGGATATTTTTAGCCCGAAGTGGGGACATTGCGTGCTACGCGTTTTATTACAGAACGATATAGACACAATTGTCACCGGCATATTTGCAATTTCATTTAGGTTATTTAAACGAGTGACATACGTATATATTTTTTAAATGTTATTGCACGTATATATAACACGTGAACGTAAATATTAACTTACGACGCATTGTGTTTTTAAATTACTCCTCGTAACACGAAAATCAGCTTTTCTATTTCCTATTTTGTGGCAACTCGTGGCGTTCACGAGACATCCGACAGTAGTGGTTATGGTTGATCTCAATCGAATCGCAGACATTTCGTTTCGTTTCGTCCCTTATCAACGAAACAACATTTTTCTTCGCAGCATTACATTTCACGATTTATTTCCAGTTTGTTGGAAAACGGTTGAAACAGATATATGTACTCTGAGAACTCCTATTCGTATGAAACAAACGTTTTAATTCGTTTATTCTATAGCTGTCTCAAACATGCGGGAGAAGAATGATAGTAGGTAGTTTTTGGATGTCCGAGTGAATATATCTGCGAATTGTATTGACAATGATTTATTTTATTACGATATTCAATTGATGTACAATACCGCGTCGGTTAACAGGAAAGAACTCTGGGCATGTGTTTCACTTGCAGATTTTAATTAATGGATAAATCAAAATAGTAATAATAATTGTGAGAATGTTTGTTGCTCTGTTAACGCATGAAATTCGACATGAATTGAAATTGAAATAAAAGTTACAGATGACACCTCGCGCATCGCAGTATGATTGAAATTATTTACAACAGAAACTATTGAGGCACGCGAAGATCAAGGAACCTCGCTGCGTCGCGTCGCCGTCGGCGGGGCGATGGGAAACGGACAAGAATAACGAGAATGCGGAGGCGTGCGTGCATTAATTACGGTCTTTTATTCTCATTTCATTCGATACACCGAAAGATTGCAATTTATCGGCGCAACAATGCCCGGCATTATTAATATCCATTAATCAGTCGGACTCCGGTTGCTGACGCGCGGAAACCAGGCGAGCATGGACGGGAATCGTTGGTCCGTCGCGTGGGATAGGAACGAGGAAAGGGAACGGAACAATACGTCCTGATGAACTGCGGGGAAAATATGGAAGTATATTCTGGATCTCGGTTTCGCGTCGGATCGATGCCACTCGAAATGAAAAATTCCGTGCCGTCGATGGAAAAGTTGCCATAAAAAAACAAGTGGATACATACACACACACACACACACACACACACACACACACACACACACATAGACGGTGCAAAATAAAACTCGCAGGAGAATTGATTTCCCTTTGACACGTTCAAGTGCGTCTCGTAACGGAGAAAAAAAGATCGGTATCGTCGGAGTTGCTGTAATTCGATTGATAGTTATAACTGTAGTTATAACTGTGATAGTTATAAAGAATTGTTATAACTGTTTCGACTTGTACTTTCCATTTATTATACAATAAAATATATACTCTACAAAGAATCCTGTACATAATACGACACTTCTATCGAAGCAAGCTAACGTGCTTTTGCCTCGACGAAGCCAAACTTTTCACCCTCGTTTTTGCCGGCTTGTTTCGCGAATCCCTGGAAGTTTTTAAAGAATCCATCGTAACCGCGACCAGCCTCGCGACCTTTGGATTCCCTCACGGCTTGGGAGTTCTTCGCTGTTTCCTCCTTGCGGTGTTCGGCTTCATCGATGCTCGAGCCCTTTTTGCCACCCTTCTTAAACGAGCCCTCCGTGGCAACGTGTTTTTCATTGTACCGGCCGTGTTTCTTGGAATGTCCACCTTGATCATCGTTATCGTAGAAGTCGTGGTCTTTCTTGTGCTCGTCCTTGTGATAAACGTTATGAAATCCAAGGGCTTTGCGGTGCACGCCATCGCGTCTATTGTTCTCGTGGACTGTTCCTGCCTTCTCTTTAGCCTGATCTTCTTTGTGATTCGAATCGTTATCTTGTTCGGTGTGTGTCTTCCTTTTTCCTTCAGACTCGTTGTACTCGGTCTTCTTCTTGTACTTTTGATCGTCACCCTTCTGCCTCTTTTCGTAAGAAATCACTCTCTGGAGTATTTCTCGACCTTCCTCAACTGGTGATTCGTTCTTCGTGGATATCTGTTGGTAGCGATATGAAACAATGTAATAAATTGGGATCCCGATTGTCTAGATTCGAGTCTTATCTTACCTGTTGAGTAGCTCTTCTCTGATCAGACTCTTTTAACGGTTTAATGCTAGGTGCATTCTTCGGGACCTTCGACTCCGCGTATTTCAGTTCCATGTGATCGACTCCAGGCGGTTTGACGCCTGTGTAGTGAGCTGGTAGCATCTCCGCATCCGGTTCCAAGGGCAGCATGACGAACTGCGTCACGCGAGGCGCCTTTATAGGGATCAGCTTCCTCTGATAGTTGGACTCTGGGGAAAACTGTTCGGAGGATGTGGCCCTGAAAGCTTGTCTTGGGTCGTTGACTACCGGGACGTTGAATCCTGAATTGGTAACGTAGACGATGGTCTGACTCGCCGAGTGCACACAAATGCAGAGGACCGTGTAAACAGCGTGCCATCCTCTCTCAGAGATTCTCATTTTCCCGATCTAGTATTTCAATCCACTTTGTCCTAATCTCAGAATTCGAGAGAGCCTTCTATCTTATTGGATCAAAATAATATAATAACATTTTCGGATTAAAGGTTTGAAGTATCAAGTTGTTAAGCACTTGATTAATCTAACCTGTAGACATGCAGAGGTAAACAACGATGCGGAACTATCTTTCCTGGCTGACAGCTTCGCGAAAACGTGTTCAGATGTACTGTAATCACGGCGCCATAAGCCCACGACTTTTATATTGTCGCGCTGGCTGGTCCAGCGGTTCGACGCGATCACCTCTCGCCCAGGACTGCATTATGGATCTGGAAGGGTAGACAGCGAGATCTATCGCTTGAATTAATGGTGAAATTTTCACGTCAACTCGACATATTGTATTACATATTCGACCATAGACGAATTGGCTGTGAAAGAGTAATAATATATTTAGAGTTTATAAAAGGTAGTCTTCTTAAAACACGCTTGGATCGAGACTAATAAAAACGAACACGAGTCATTCCCAAAAATTTGTGTTAGTATTGACGGGTGTTCGGCTTTCTGGCGAGTTACGCAAATCCCCATTCGAAAGAACACCTGACAAGTAGAACAATGTCGTCAATAACACCGCGTACTTGAATTATGGAGCTCGACCGTGGAATGCCAGGTTCCACTCTATGATCCCTTATTCATTTCGACGAATCACGTCCTCGTGTGTATATATATAAAGCAACGCTGGCGATTAATAAACACGCCAGTGTAGATTCCAATCTAACAGCGAGAAATGACACGCCCAAGCTCTCCCACACGCGAGTTTCAAGGAATTCACGTCATGTTTTCGTGGTTTGTGGTGTGCGTATTGTTTTCTTTTGGACGAAACGATGCGGCGCCGACTAGGACGGAGACTATGACCAAGATGAGCGCTATGGACCTCGAGGGCTCGTCCAGTGGATACGTGTACAACCAGCAACAGGGTCTTCCGGTCTACTACGTGCAATACACCAATCATGGAAGCGGACGTTACTATCATGCACCAGAGTCCGTGCGGTACGTTGTCGATCCTGTTGTACCTGTTGCTCACGCTGCTTCTGCTGCTCCTGCATCGTTTCTGCGCCCCTATGAATCTGCGGAAGATGTTCCGCAAACTGGCAAGCAGGTTCATCAAGAAACAGCTAATTACGGCCGCCAGCGATCACCTCATCGCTTGGATGTGCCCGTCAAAGAGCCACGCGCCCCGTACTACGTTTCCGAAAAGACTCCAGAAGAAGCGAAGGAAGCCTTTCGTCTTCGATTCCACGAAGAGGATGGTATACATAACGGTGTCGAGGTCGAGCAAGATGACGAAAATGACAGCGAGGATGAAGAGGAAGATCAAGTTGACGAGTACAACGAGGACAGCAACGACGAGGAGATTTATGATGACAACGATCGTTCAGTGGGGACGAATTTTGGTGGTGGTTACGGTGCCAAGAGTGTAGGTGGAAGTTCTTCCTCTGAAGCTAGTGGTAGTCGGAAGCATAGCGGTGAAGAGTACTCTCAGCGTGGCGAGAAAGGGCGTGAGAGTTACGAGAAGAATAAAGAGGTTAGCAAAGGCGAACACGGTGCTCATGATAGCGAAAATCAGAAGGGTAGGTTTATAATTTATTAAATTTTGTATACTCAATAATTATAATTGAATAACCGATGGGAAATTTGTAGGGTACTACAGCAGCAAAGGTGAGCGTGACAAGGGACACGTCGACGAAGCAGAGAACCATGGTTCCCACGAAGAAGCAGAGAAAGCTGAAGACGGTAGTGACTACGGACATTTCTCGTACAACAAGAAGGGGCACAAAACCAACGGTTTTCACAATGTATATCGCAAAGATGAGTACAAGAAGGAGACAGATTTCTACGATGATGACCACAAGAAAGGTCACTTTGATAAATACGAGAATTTCCACGAAGGTTACGAAGCAGTCCAAGGTGGCTTCAAGAAAGGCGGCCATCGCTCTTCGGAGAACGAGCATCAGGATCGCGGTAAGAAAGGATACTTCAACAAAGGACATCAACGGTATCAAGATCAAGGTCACGAGGCTGAAAAAGGCGAGAGATCGTACCACGCGAATCATGCGAATTATAGTGCCGAAGAAGGTTCGAAATCTGCTAAAGTACAAAAGTCTCGAAAAGATTCTGGTCGTTAATTAGTGTTACAAGTGATTGCAGTTTGATCTGTTGTTGTTTTATATTTATTGTATTCTATGCCACGGAATAAAAAAGTTTTAATAATTATATCTTTCAAATAAAATTACAATACCTTGTACTTCTGTATAGCTGAAAATTTCTTCACGAGAAGTAACAGGTTTGTTAGGAAACAAAGATACGCTTCTTTTGTTTTCTATTATTATGTAAATTAGAAGAACGTGTCACGGTAGAGTAATCGTGTTATTGCGTAAAGGCAAGTTGTAGCCGGATGCTGTTTTTTTAATCCTAACCTCAATTTCTTTTACTAAATCCATCCATCTACTACTTAACATATCGGTATTGCAATAACAATACTCCTGCGACACCATCGAGTGAGATAACTGTCCTGGAAAGCGTTACTGGCCTAATTTTTTTGTATATTCAAGTGCAACGTAGCATGTCCAGCGTAAAAACGTGAGGGTATTGAACTATTACAAGAATCACGGCTTAGAAGTCAACGACTTATCAAACGCCAGAGATATATTGCCAAATTGAAGTTTCATAATAGCGTACGAATCATATTTTCTGTCGATTCAAACTGCAAGCAAAGTCACGAAGGAAGGACAACTACACATATCCTTATCGGTAAAAATGAGTCTCAAAAATACGTTTATTTCGATTGAATACAAAGATCAACGTAGCACAACGTTCAACAGACATAACAATGAGCGTCAACAATCCTAATGCCCCTTTTTGAATCCCCACGACTTGTGGTCCTCGTGTCCGCCTTTCTTGCCGTGTTTGGAATGATGATGATGATGCTCGTCGTGTCCACCCTCGCCCTTGTGGCCCTTGTGATCGTGATGATGATGACCCTTCTCATAGTGTCCCTTCTTTCCGTAATGATCTTCGTGCTCGCCGTGCTCGTGATGTCCTTTCTTGAAGTGTCCACCCTTCTTGTGACCGTGCTCGTGATGATGACCACCGTGATCCTCGTGGTGTCCCGAGTCGTGGTGCTCGTCGAAGAACTCCTTGTCCTTTTTAAACTCGTCCAGCTTGTGGACCTCGTGGTGCCCATGGGTCTTGTGCCCTTTACCGTAGTGCCCCTCTTCGTGGAATTTGTGTCCCTTCTCGCCCTTCTCGCCCTTGTGATGCTCGCCATAATAGCCATCGTCGTGATGATGACTCTTCTTGTGGTCCTCCTCCTCCTCGAAGTGACCCTTGTGGTCGTCTTTGTCGTGATGGCCCTTCTCGCCCTTCTCGTGGTGGTGCTCGGACTTGTAGCCTTTGTCGCCTTCGAATCAATTTATTATGTTATTCGGCATGAAATTTAAGAGAGATCTTGCACAGAGACGATCTAATGCACTGGTAAAATGTTAATAATTATTTGCTCTCGACTTATCCTAATTCATCACCTTTTTCTCCGTGATGGTGGTGGTGATCGGAATGGTGCTCCTCACCGCCGCCCTTCTCGTGATGGTGGCCGCTCGCAGCCGTTTCTAGATCATCGTGACCCTTGCCGATCTCACGGCCAGCTATCAAACACTGACAGACGATATACGCGGACAACAGGCAGATCGCGAGGCGGGACATCGTGACAGCTGTGGCAGTCTACGCGAATTGGTCCAGTTGGTACCGCAACGTCCAGCTCCGGCGCTGCTTTCGGTATGATTAATCCGGTGACCACGCTGGGATTATATATCGAACGGGGAATAATCGAAATTAAGGAAGCAGCCTGCTCTTTCCTGGCCCGTCGACGTTGCGAAAGTAACGTCTCCTTAACCCGCTTAATCCCGTCGTAACGTCGATTTCAGCCGATCCAGGCGCCGTCAATCGAAACCGTTATGCAACCCCGATCGAAATGGCACGGCTGACACTGCTCTATCGGTGTGTAAACAATCGACTCTTTCTTCTAGGGGTTTTGCGCGATTGTGCGTCGTTACGTGACGATTCGTGCGACTCGATGTCGAGATATCAAGATGTAATTCTTGGATTTATTTCGGAAACTTCGTTGACCATTTTCGTTTATGTGTACAAGATCGATAAAAGCTACATAGCTTTTTAATATTCGCGTTAAAATCATCGTTTCCCGTTTGCTCACATTTTTTTTAACATGTCTTTGAATTATTCTCTGGACACGAGAAAAAGTGATCAATGTTCGCAGTGGATACATATGTCTATATATATATATCATACATATGTCTAATCGCAATAAACTCGATTTTATATCTATTTATCTTTTTTGTGGTAAACGAAAAAGTGCTTCGGCCGCAGCAATCGCTCAGCTTCGAGCTGCTTCCACTGCAAAGGATCAAATTGGTTTTTCTTGAAACGACAGTTTCCAGTCCGCTTGATATATTTTCCATCTGTTGTCTAATTGTAAGTGAAATCTAGCTCGATATCTGTAAACGTTTTTTTCTCATTCGATGAATTTCCAAAATTTTTTAGACAATGTTCTATTTGTCGACACGAATATTTAAAAATTAGTTAGCTCCGTATAAAGTTTAACACTCGTAGAATGCTACGAAGTAACGTCATCGAATCCCATTTTAGTTAATCCCAAAATACATTAATATCCGATATCCCTTACTTGTCAGAATCTTATCGAAGAGAATAGAAACTTTTGGATAGAAACAAGAGACGTCAAGGTTTAATTAAGAACGACAGCTAGAAACGTGGTTTCACAAAGTATAATCGGTGAACGGTGAGAACACTATTTCCATACTAATCGCTGCCAGTTCGTTTTGTAATATTCCTTGGACCGTACTCTATCGGTTACAAATTGATCGACTTTTTGTCAGGTGTCGATTCATCGACTGATTGTCTCTGTACTTTCTACCTGCAAAATAACGTTAACCGAGTTTACAGATAATTACAACATGAAAAACTCTTCGTTCCGGATTGAAACGAGTCTACCCTATGGTCGATATGTATGTAATATATGTATTAGGTGGATAACCCCTGAAAAAAATTCCTAGATAACGATGAGAATTTTTAGCTGTCACACTGTCAGTCAAGATTCCTGTCACACATGCTAGCGGTCGTTTCTATAAAAAAATTCATCGCAAGGATAGGTCTGTATTTCGCCGTAAACATCACTCGAGGCCAACCTTCGTAGCACCCTCCAGAGGCTGATCGCCCGTTCAACCCCTGAAACGAACGTCACCGCTCGATCAAGAGCAGTCATGGTACGATGTGGGGCAGAAGCCGTTGGACGTTTACGAAATAAGGATCCAGCGCACTAGAAGCGAGTAGCTGTTGGAAGGAACGAAAGCGATTACGTATAAAACGCTGGTTTGACGGCTGGTATATAAGCTTAGCGATAAAGCAACGTGATCATAGTCGATAGGACTCGTCGGTCGAACAAGGCACCAACATGGCGAAAAGTCTGTGGCTCTGCCTGAGTCTAGCCGCGATCTTTGCGGTTACCCTGACCACAGCCAGGGAGGCGAGGGAAAAAAGGGACCTCTTGATGGCCGCCAGCCACCATGGTCACCACCACGAAGAGGGTGGCGGTCACGAACATCATGGCCACCATCACGAGGAACACGGCGAGAAGGGTGACAAGGGCTACAAGAACTATCATCACCACGACAAGGGCGAGCACGGTCACCACGGCAAGGATCACCACGAGGGCCATCACGGCGAGCATGGTGGGCACAAGAAGGGCCATCACGACGAGCACGACGAGCACGGCGAACACCACGAGCACGAGCACGGTCATAAGGGCGAGAAGTTCGGGCACAAGAAAGGTCACAAGAAGGGCGAGAAAACTCATGGTTATCATCACAAAGCCCACAAAGACGAGTACCACAAGGAACACAAGTTCTACGATGATTTCCACAAAGGTGGACACCACGAGAAGCACGGAAATCATCATGGACACCACGAAAGCAAGGAAGGCCACCACAAGAAGGGTGGACACCATCACTCGGGACATCACGAGGATCATCATGGGAAGAAGGGTCACTACGACAAGGGACACTACGACGAGGATCACAAAGGATACCATGGAAAACATGGACACGACGACCACCACTCGCATCACGAGGACTATGGAAAAAAGGAGGAACATCATGGGGGAAAGAAGCATGGATATTCGAGCGGCGATGGACATCATGGTCGTTGAAAGATGTCACGGATATGCCGATATTTTATTACTTTTGTTGTCTCATTTGTTTTTTATCTTGTCGTTGATTAATTTTAGGCACTGCAAAGAAATTTCTCATGTCTGATATTTTCGTTTTTAACGATTAAAGTGAATGCCACAATTTTAACTTTGATCGTATTTAATGCTACCTACATCTTCCAAAAACTAAACATAACGAAGCATGAAAGAATTTTTGCCAAAGAACGTTAATAAAATTGGTGTCGCCCAATCGAATTTCAAGAAAAAGATTTTGATGGCAAAACGTTAAATCCTGTAACACGCGGCGAACGTGTTCACCGCCTTAGCCAGAAATGGAACCAACCCCTCTCCCTTCACAGACGTTTCCAGAGCATTAGCAACGTTTTGCACGTTTTTCTTAACCGCAGCTGACGAGGTACAGAAATGCCACAGGTGAAAGACATATAAAAGTTGGATCTTCGCATATCCGCATCATATTGGCTTGGCCAGCTATTACGCTTGTTGTAATATCCAGAGTTCGCCACTTACCTTGTCGAACAGAGGCCAAACTATTACCGGAAGGTCGTTCACGAACGAATTTTCTACGCTGGCTGCTTAGCGGAACTATGACTACGTAAATACTGCGAATACGTGTTATCGATTCATAAGTAAATAGAATCCATACTATCTGGCTTTGTGGTCACATACAAAAATCGTGTTGTAATAAATTCGATACAAGGTCGAACAGGACACACGTCGATAGAAATTATTTTCAACGTTTTTGTGTCGTCCATCCTCCGCAAAAGCGATGCCCACGCGATACCATACATCATGTGTACTTTACACATAACCGTGTACCTATATTATATATACTGTTCCAATCAGCAGGGGCGGAATCACCGAACCATAGATACACATTGCGCCCCCTTTGGAGGCGGGAACGCGGCCAGCGGAAAATTAAAGGAAACCGATATGTTTGCCGTACGTGGAGTTTCACCAGTCATGATACTCCTGGCGATTTTGGCGCCTAGCAGCTTCACGACGAGCATAAATTACGAGGATCTGGAAACAGAGGCTACCTCTGGTTTCCATCATTACCAGGAGGGCGGCAACGAGGATCGTCGCTCGGGTCACAAAGGTAAATACGGAGATGGCAACGACGTGGGCTACAACAGCCACCACGACTTCCAAGAAAATAGCAAAGGCCATCGCGACTTGAACCGTCACCACGAAAGCATCTTCCGAAACGATGACGAGAACGAGCATCGCGGTCACGACGATGGTTTCTACGACCAGCATCGCGAGAGCGAAGAGGGTGAAAATGGTGACTCCTTTTACAAAGAAGGTCACTATAAGAAAGGATACAACATTCACGGTCACCACGAAGTGGAGAATATCGACGAGATCAAGAAACACGAAGAATTCCACGACGAGGACTACGAATCTGACTTTGACGAGTACGATGGCGGACATTATTACGATTATATGTATGGGAACGGCGGATCTCATGGGGAAGGACGTTACGATCTTGGTAGTTACGATGGTGACTATGAGAAGAAAGGTTACCACGACAATGGGTATGGTCTCAGTGGTTATAAGGGATACAATGGAGTCGATGGTCACGAGGATTATTATCAGAACGATTATCATCAGGGGAACACGGATGCGTCCGGTGGGAGGAAGTGATGGGAGTACGGGTTAGACCATTAGTTGTTATTAAGCAGACTTGATATATGTACTAGTATTTCTTGTTTGCATTCGTGAAATGCAGTCTGGCAAAGCATGGTAGCCGATGAAAGTAAATTCAAAGCGAACGTTTGAAATATCCCACGTGATGCGAACCGATGTTTACTGTGAACTCAGAATTTAAATGCGATCGAATGATTAATACAATAAAGACGATTTCGGAGCAGAAATTTTGTAAAATATTCAATTATTCAATAATGGAGTCTTTACATTCCACTCGTCGCGGTATTAAGCTCCCGCGAAAATTATTATTATCGAAAATAGATTTTAATACGGCAGAAATTCCGTCTAAACCACCGTTGAAATTACATCGCTAGGCTACTATAAATTCCTTTACTTATTAATAAATTCTCCTACCCCATTTGTCCATCAAGTACTATTAATCGCATCGATGCATGAAACATGTCCCTAACGCAATTTACATCCCAGCAGACCGCCACGCGCCGAACCACGGTTTACCAAATTTTTAGTAAAATTATATTCGTAGAATATATTCGGCGAATTTAAATGAACTAAAACGCAAAAAACCAATGTGCGCGAATAAAATGAATATTTACACCTTCGTTGGTACGTATCGGTTATATTGAACATCCTTTTGCTGTTCGGCGGAGCTACGGAAAAAGGGAGCGAAATAATGAAAAAAAAATATACTATCCAGGTGTTTTTGCGCAGGAACGATTGAAATTCGAACGAGTCTGCATAAAATCAACAATTAAATCCGACCAATTTTCAGTTCAGGTAAACACGCTCATTGGGGCGAAATGCGTGCATACTTTCTCGCCGTTCATCAAAGCCACGAAAAAGAGGACAGAATAATAAAAACGGCGTACATGTGTTTTAGGTCGTTGGTTGAAATTAAAATGCATCATAATAAATTTTTACGTTCCGCTTAACGGGGAGGACCGGCCGTATAAGCGAGCAACCTCTCGAGTCCTTTGAAAAGAGCAGTTCCATGCATGTACAACGCACACGCGGACGAGTATTCTACTTGCGGTGAACATCCGCACGCACATTTCTCCCTTTTACCATTTTCTTCTCACACGCGTCCGCTGTTTTCTCTTTATCACGTGCATGTTCCACAACGAGCAAATGGTGAGTAGCGATGGAACTAATACCGCAACGACGACATTGGTACCCGAAAATAAATAATACGAGGGATGATATTTTAAAACAATCTACATATTTCGTTATCTCGTGTTCCAATTCTTTATTTTGTAGACATTGTTGAACCTAGAAATACTTACTAAATTAATGACACATTGTTTTTATGTTTGAAATTTCCAAATCATCGATACAATCCGATACTTGTGCATCGAATTGCTCGAATATCATCAATACGTACCGCATCAGCTTCATCGCTGGCGACAGCTCGCGCATTCAAACGCGTTCGTCGTAGCGTAGGCGCGGGTTTGATTAACGATTCCACCCTCGGCAAATGAAATTGCCGTGACCATTTGTGGGTCTATCCAGCCAGGATTCCGGTGCACCGGACACGAATTAACGAACCTTTATACGCTTCTTTCATAGGCAGAGCGAGGGGAAGGGTGGATGTTGCAGCCAGTCGCGATCACGGTTATTCTCGACCGGAGATTGCGTACAAGCGAGCGGATCTACTTGAAATTCCTTGGCGTGTGACAATTCCGACACGCCACTCCGAAACACCGTGGCCATTGTTCCATTCCGTGATGCACGTACGCGTGACTGGCTTAATTAATCTAATTGGAGTGGTCGCGCGACTGGCAAAAGAAAAGAAGGATCTCGACGTTCGCCTGTCTCTACAGAGAGTGCTGGAAGAAGCGTACACGTGCGGTGCGCCGTGTTGAAGAGGCAACGAGCATCCGTGGCTCTTTCAGCGTGGCTTTGAACGATCGTGTGATAATCCTGTCGTTCCCATTAATGAGAACACTCGAATCATTGACATCGATGCGTTTCGGCATCGATGGCGTGATAGGAACAACCAGGGAAAATTAACCGGGCTCTGACGTTTCCGAACGGGAAGCTCGTCGGCTTAGGGGGTGACGGGGGTAGATCCTCATCGCGCTTCGTTTTTGGAGAATACGATATTAATGGTTTACGAGTGGAGCACGGTTGCGTTCGGTGTTCAAGTATCGAAATACTTGTCGAGTTAGCCCAATTACCGTGGATCCACTACGGCATGAATTCACGGAAGAAAAGATAGAGCTAGGGAGGATACAATTATGTGGAGGATGTGTAATAGACATGTCCAATTTGTAAAAAAACAAGTCGTTAGATTGAAAAACCTATGAAAATGAACTATCTCCGTTTCATACATTTTTTAAACGTTTCTTGCACATACTTCGAATTTATCTTTGGGCGAATGACCAAATATGGTGTCTTCGATTTACGAGAGCAACTGAAAGGATCTAGATAATTAAATTTTCTATTCCGAATACGTCGTAGAGTGATCTAAACCTAGAAATGCTACTTATAATCGGAAGTATTCTACCCGATCAGTAATTGATCAAACTTTAATGTTTCCGTTTGCGACACACGGTTGTAGCCGTGTTCCTTGTGCAGTATTTAGCATCAAGGTTCTCGAGGAACTCGAATTAGCAAAGCTTCTTGCCCAAAGCTGCGCTACTCTGACTTATTAATTTCGCAGATATCGCGGGGACGTCGCGAATGTTTTAATGAAATCGAGTCGCGAACGAAGCTGCTAATAGAGTTTACACAGCCGCACAAGTTGAAGGCAGCGAGGACTTAGTATGCGAGGCAAGGACAATGGGGAGCGTTTAAATTAAAGGGAACGTGTAAATTTCGGCTGTGACGGACGAAAAGGCGCGTCGAGAATACGAAAATATGTATAGCACATTCTACGTTTCAACGCTGTCGCTTTGTTCTAGACGAAATTTAAAGCAGAGCTGGAAAACTTATCTGTCTTTAAGGATCGTCTGAAATAAGACATAACGCGTCACTTTAAAACACTGAAGAAGATAATGAATAAATGATGGAATTTATTTAGTCTTCAAGAAAATGCTTCTTATGCTAATCGTACGTAACGATCATTCCAAGCAACTTGCCGAGTGAACTAAATTCTAACAAAGTAGTTAGAATAACATAATTCTCAGCGATTATCATAGAAATTATTCTATTCAGAAATTCTGCCTGGAAGGGGGCGAGAATTTCCAGAATCTGCAACGTCATTGAAACATACATATCGAGAGTAAAGTAAAGAGCAGGAGCGATAGAAGTCGCTCGCTAAAGGGAATACGCGTTATTGGCTAAAAGTAAACGAGCAGCGTAGTTGCAGTTTCCCAGTGGAAATTGCACGATAAGACCGCGTAAGAAAGCCTTTGATGATATAAGCTCGATGGATTAAATGCTCGGACTCAGCTTACATTGTTTGCACGGTTGCATTCGAGTATTATTTGGAAATACAGGCTAAGAAGGAATACGCGAGTCGGCGTCGTATAATTGCATAATTGAAAACGAAATATTCGTTTAGCCACGCAATGGAACCGCGGTCGTACAGGTGATACAGGATTCGCTGGGTGGACATCGTGTATCAAATCGTCTTTTCATCTCACCTATTTGTACCTATTCAGGAGACGAGAAATCTCAGGCGATAATATCACATGGAACTGCGGATCTGAATCTTCGATTCACAGCGCTACAACGAGCTCACCCCATTGTTCACGCATTGACAGGTATTGCGTCTCATATTGTTTAGCTCTTCCACAAACTTTTTATTCAGACAGACTTGTTGAATTGCGTTAACAACAAAAAATTACAACCGCTAGCATTCATTTGATTCCACAGTTCTCGAACATTTCCATCCAGTCGCAAACACTCGGATTACATACACGTCGACAACATATTTTCGTTTGGTTCGATTAAAAGCGCATTGGTACGTTCGATTGGTACGCATGGAAATCGCGTGCGCGATTTTTTTTTGTTGCACTCGATTGCTCGTCCAATTTCGTCGAACACGTTGTTTTTTGTTCTCGTCATTACGTAGACTCTTCGAGCGAGCATCGCGCCGAGGCACGGCGCGGCGCGGCGTCGGCGTCGTGCAAATGCGAGTACGTGTTCCTGATGCGTTCCATCCGCTACCCGATGTAAATAAAACCCTCCAAGGTGTGGGATTATACGCCAGGCAGACAGGCGGATAGGTAAACAGAAAGAAACGCGATCGAAACGCCAGTGTAAACGGTACGGTTATTAATACGCGTGCGGGATCAAGGAAAATTGATAAACTGACGAGATGCGCGCGACGATTGCGGAAGGCACTTGTGCAGTAGCGTGATGCAACCTGGAATTCGCTGATAACATGTTTTGTAATCTGATACGATGATTTGGAAAAAATGAAATCGATCATTGTGTAAATTATGGATGTAAAACGTACGACTATCTAACAACGAACGCGATTAAAAACCACTTTTCCATCTTCGTAGATGTGAATTCTAAACCAACAGATAGAAAGTATACATTGCATCGTTTGCAACGTAATGGAATAATATAATTATAAACAGTCGTCCCCAGAAAATCCTCCGAGCATCTGTTATTTATCTGCAAATTGAACCGCGTTAAATCGCAGTACGCGTTTCCATCGAACAGCGCATTAATATCCGAAAATCAATTGAATCGGCAACGCGACCGATTAAACTCTATCACTGGCGTATCACTAACTTTTTCGGTACGTGATTAAAATCGTGTATGTATACGTATAATGCGTTACATCGTTCGCGCTTCTGTGGATGTTTGTTCATGTTTGTTGTGCGTGAGTCGGTTTGGAACCGCCATTGACGGCAGATATTATATTTTGAAAGAATTGCTCGCGAAATGTACTTGTACAATGTCTGGTATAATATATCGGTTCGACGATGCATTAATTTGCCTTCGCTTTGGAAAATCTTAAAACTGACAGCCGTGAAATATTTGAGACGCTAAACGCGAATGTGTGTAAATGATGCTCCGTC